CAGCATCGCGGATTTCCGAAGCTCCACCCCAGCTGCTCGCCTATGACGGCTCGCTCTTGCAATTCTAGGATTTACCATAAATGGGTAGTTGTCTAAATGAGGGTCTCTTTCAGGGTCCTGAGTACAGGGGGTGCCGTACCATATTTGAGACCTAATAAGGGACTTTACTTAGTAGCTAGTAGGTAACCTTTAACCTTTTTTGGGCTTATAAAACCCTACCATAATTGAAAGGTTAACCTTTTTTGGGCTAGGGTACTAAGGGTTTAGTTTAGAGAACTGCCCGAACCTGGGATCCGAGATCCTTTTCACAACAGCTGAGCCCGGTACTTCCCTTCATCTAAGCCGAAGGCTCTAAACCCTATACCCTAAACCCTAAATCGTGCTCCGGTTTGGGTCAAGCCTATCTACCCATAGGCTCCTAAGTAGTTCCTTTTAATGGTTCATGGTTCGAATCCTATAAGGCAATCCCACAAAGGAACTACTAAGGAGCCTATGGGTAAGCCCTCGAAAGAATGTCGCCAAGCAATTTAAGGTCTTGAGGCTGTTTTGGCATGAGGGTAACGCGCCGCCCGCAAAGTACAGAAACACGAGCGAGCATTTCCACAAGCCGGGTGGCAACAAGTTAATGCCCCCTTACATTATGTATTAAATTACTGACAATGTAACACTCGTAGTGATAAGAATACTTATGAAGAGAACAGCGGCCATGACATTTGTGATAAAATACTGATAGTAACAGTAGTAATATTGCCTCCAGAGCCTCTCGTGGGCAGGGCGGCTTCCAACCCGCCCGAAGCCGCTAAATTTCAGGTTTGTTGTTTTTGAGGTTTGGGTTTAAGTGAAGTTTTAGATTGGCGACTTCAAACTTTAGAGGTCTTGGCAGGGTCCATTCCGGGGTCGGTGTTGGTTTCAGGAAGTGGCGCTGGTATGCGTTTGATGTAGTCTTTGACGGTGTGGGTGTACGCAAGCATAATTTTGAAGGGCACTAGGCTTCTGAAGTGATCCGAAAGCCATCGTTAGTGGATCGTTTGGTTTACGGTCAGAGTTTAGGGTTTCGGACGCACAGTGCGCGCCATTAGCAAAGCCCCAATGCGCTCCTGATTTCAGCACTGGATGTCAGAGAAACAGCGGTGTGTCAAGCCGAGCTTCCGTGTTGCGGGAGTTTTCGGGTCGAAAAAGCCTCGTCAAGCCCGGATAAGTGGTCTAAGGTCAAGGATGTGGGTGTCTTCATCAGCCATTCCTGGTCGGCTGGCCGGTGGGACAAATTCTTGGCCACGTGCTACTTTCTGAACTGCGGTCGGTTTTAGCCCCGTTGTGGTGCACGTATCTTCTTTTCCGTACAAGTAGGCTTCCTTCATGTGTCTACTACAACTGATTAAAGCCCCCCTAAGCAACTAAGGAACTTCGGCTTGGCAGCCAAGGCCACGGTAGCATTTGCCGTTCTTTGCGAAGGCCTCCTGCTGGCTTTTCCGAATATGTCCATCCGCATGATGTTCCTGTTCCTGCTGGACCTGCCAGTTCTTGCCTTCTTCTTGGTATTCTTCTTTGGGCAGCACCTCACTTGCGGAGTCTGCGGTCCTCACTTCTGGGTGGACAGGCTCTGCGTGGACCAAACCGATGAGACAACGAAGTCTCAAGGGATCGCAGGCTTGCCCACGATTGTGGCGAACTCTTCTCAAATGCTCGTCCTCTGGGACAAGTCATACTACGAACGGCTCCTTGTCTATGCCCATTTGAGTTTTTCATATTGGAACATGTAACATTATTTTCTGAAAGTCCACTGGCTTCATTCTACGAACCTGAGCCCGTTTGTCGGCCGTCCACCAGCAAGGCTCTGGTGCAACTTTGAGCTCTCGATTTTCGTGAAGAGCCACGGTCTCCAAAATCTGCGGCTGATGCCATTGTGGCTCACTCCGTGGTTGCTGACGACGATGTTGTTCTCTTATTGTTCAGCTCGGCTCGTCGCTGTCTTCACCGAGTGCACGCCCAGCTCTGGCAGCAATGACACGAGTAAGTTTTCAGGAGTTGAGGGCGACGCACTTATGTTCGGCCTGCAGCGGCTTTGTCAGTATCTGAGTCTCGCGTACATCTTCTTCCTCTTTCCGCCCATCATGGTCGCTGTCGTCTCCTTCCAAAAGAAGTTGGATGGACACCGAGATATGTTGGAAAGCATGAAGTCGTTCGATGTGCGACATGCCAAATGCTCTGTCGAGAACGACCGCCTTGTCATCCAGGCGGAGAGCGCCAGCTGCTTGCAATTCGTGTCGACGAATTAGCAGCTCTAGTTTGCTCGGGTTCACAGCCCTACATGTATACCTTAAACTACCAAAACCTACTTTTTTGTAGGGTCCCTATAAACTCCAGATTAGCGCTTATAATAAGAACCTACAAAAAAGTAGGGTTGGGTAGTTGAAGGCACAGATGCATCTTTGAGCTGCAATGTGAAGTGCCCTAAGGCCTCTTGGTCTAGGGAACCTTTACGATAACCCCCTGTATTCCCCAAAGGCTAACCTTTGGCTGCCCTGGGATAGTGGACAAGTAAGGCTCTTCTACTACATAATAGAAATACGAGAAATAATTTAATGATCATAATAGCAGTCATACTACTGCTGATGATCAAAATCCTGCATTACCCACAATGAGGAATATAGCATTAATTCCCGTAGTTTAGGGTCCGTAAGGTGATGCAGGATTTATATCATCAACAGTAGTAATAAGGATAATAAATGAAGCGGCAAAGCTAGGAGTCCAGTTTGCAGGCGCATGTGGCTGAGCTTTTCGACGGGCTCGAGGATCCCATCATCGCTGTGCCGATCGAAGTGACGGACTCTCTCAAACATCATAGAGGGTTTAGGGTTTTAGGGCTTAGATGTTTGTTGTAATGCGCGGTAGGCTATGGAATTTAACGAGGAGTGTTGCATGCAATGCAGGCTTTAGTAAAATCCTCTACAACTTAATCAACAGGGCCATCTTATGTTGCGATATCATCGTTTACCTGCTTTGCCATGCTAGCTTGCATGCGGGAGTTATCTTCAGGACCTTCATATGGGTAGTTCTGTAAATTTAGGGTCCTGTTTATAAAGGTGCCGTACTATACTGGGTCCAAAATTTGGACCCTTATTGAGCGAACTAGCCACATTCCAGTCCGATAATATATATCTTAGGAGCCCAATAGGTAAACTTTACACTTTTTGTGGTAGATCAAAGCCCTACTAAAAGAAAAGTTTAAACTTTTTTGGGCCAGGGTACTGGGCAGCTAAGATATTGGGGCGGTTCCTTAGTAATACTCAGAGTAAAATGGATAAATGGACCCCCCCAAACCCTCTTCTAATCATCAAAATAGCCTACAGAAAATTCCAGTCCGACAGTCCTTCCGGGGAAATCCCCCTAAACCTAAACCCCTAAACCCTTGAACCCTAAACCCTAACCCCTAAACCCCTAAACCCTAAACCCCTAAACCCTAAACCCCAAACCCCCAAACCTCTAAACCCTTCACCGCCTTTTTTTTTGCGGGATGCTCCTCCGTGCCGGTCTTAGCTGCTGCCGGCTTTCAGAGCTTGGAGGCGCTCGACGAGCGCCTTGACCTTTTAAGGGCTCAGGGTTTAGGACAAGGTTTAGGGTTCTTAGGGTTTCGGGTTTAGAGTTTAGAGTTTAGGGCTTAGGACTTAAGGCTTTTAGGGTTTCGGGTTTAGGGTTTTGGGTTTAGGGTTTAGAGTTTAGGGTTTGGGGTTTGGGGTTTGGGGCTTCGGGTTTAGGGTTTTTAGGGTTTACGGAATGTTAGGGTTTAGGGTTAAGGCCTCCTTTAGAGGGCTCGTGGCTCCTCAAAGGGATCTAGACAGAAGCTCTAAGGCTTCTATACCGGGTGGATGGCTGCAGTTTAGGATGCCGTTAAAGCTCCTAAACTCCCCACTAAGACCGACCATTTCAGAACGAACCTCCAAACCGCAGGTCTCCAGTCGCGTTTCCAAGCGCCTGAGCTCGGCCTTTCTCCGGATCAAGGTTTCTGGTGTTTGGGGATGGGTCTGGAGGTGAAAATCTGCCCTTTCCCGCTGATTCGCATCAGCAAATTCAAAGCGGGAAACCGTTATGAGAAGGGCGCTCACCCTCGCTGGGATCGTTTCCATGGGTCTGAATCCTTGATGCTGCCTGCACGTTCCGCCGCCGAGGTTTTGAAGCTTAACGCACCCGCCGCCAGCATGGCTTGGAGCTCAGCCCCCTAAACCCTAAACCCTAAAGCCCTAAAGCTTTATAACCCTAAAAACCCCCGAAACCCTAAACCCTAAACCCTAAAACCCCCGAAACCCTAAACCCTAAACCCTAAAACCCCCCCGAAACCCTAAACCCTAAACCCTAAAACCCCCGAAACCCTAAACCCTAAACCCTAAAACCCCCGAAACCCTAAACCCTAAACCCTAAAACCCAGGCGTTTCGGCCCAGGAGTAGTTTGCGGTCTCCGCTCCTCCTGGCCCTAACCCAAGCGTGGTCCGCCATAGACCCGCGCGAGGGTGCCCGTCTGCGACTCCTTTGTGAGCTTTCGGGTATCCCACCTGCTGGAACTGTACGCTTGCGAGGTTCCCTGCAGCACTTCCCCGCTCCGGCGGCTGGATTTCACACTGCGCCTTTTGGGTTTTGAGGAGTGGCGCCCTCCTGTTCCCTTGGTGGTTATATGAGCACTTTGTGGTTTGGGCTGCTATACTTTTGTATTTGCTGCCACGGCGAGGACCTTTGGGAGCCGCCGATCTCGGCCCCTGGTGGAATCTTCGCGCCACAGAAGAGAACGCAAAAAGCGTACGCAGGCCAGGACAATTTTGAGGACAGCGACCAGTGGCTTGGTGGATCCCTTTTCCTGGCAGGTGGAAGAAGCAGCGGTGTTGTTAAGGCAGCACCATTCCAGGTCGCAGCTACCCCGACAGCTGGACCGAATCAGAGCCATGACCTGGCAATGCCAACAGTGCAAGCAGTGCGCCAAGGCCACTGCCAACTACTGTCCCAATTGTGGCAGTGGGGCCTCCACCTACTCGGCCAACAGCTCGCATCAGGCTCCGTGGCATGGCCCGCGGAGGGATGTGGAGACATGGGGATCACAGGCCTGGCATGGGGATGGTCAAGATTGGAAGCGCCACCCGTCGCCGAGGCGGAGACAGCCATCGCCTCGACGCAAAGGCAAGGACACCAAGGGCAAGCAGAAGTTTGGGAAGGGTCCCAACGATCGCGCAGGCAAAGGCCTGCCCAAGGAGGGGGAACAGATGCCGATGGTTCCTTCTACCGCGCAGCTGCCAGCCGCGCCCAACTTGGTAGCCAGTGTGCCGCCAAAAGCCGCGGCGACTATGGTGCAGCCGCCTACGGTGGAGAAGCAGCAGCTGGAAGTTCTGATGCAGTCACTGCAGGCACACCGGGGACAAATCCCACCGGAAACGCTGCAGGTTTTGGACAAACTCCAAGCAGACAGCACCCAGTCGTCGGCACGGAACATGCACCGGGCCGTAGCTGCACGCACCAATGCGAAAAAGGAGCTCGACAGGATTCGTTCGAATCGGATCCTGTACCTGGACCAATGGCATGCCTATGTGGACGGGGTTGTTGCCATGCTGACCAAGCAGATGAGCGAGCAGGCGGCAGCCTTGGCACAGCTTGCGGAAAGAGAGGCCGAATGGGCAGAGGCGTTCCAGAGAGCACAAGCCGATTTGAAGCGGCTTGCTGTTGTGGATGCAGAGGAAGCCGCTGCCGAGGACGACGAGGATGCCATGGACAGTGGCGAGGCCATGGTGGACGCGGCGCTTCGAGATGCCGCAGAGATCCGCGAGGAGCAGGCCAGACAAGAACAGCACCGGCAAGCAGTTCTTCAGCAGCTACAAGTGATCAGCGAACAGGCCAAAGAACAGGCAGAATCGAGCAGGCGCGAGGGCTCAAGGACGCCCAGGCGCAGCAAAGCCGACACCCACGAGGGGCCGAAGGTGCAGCCGGAAGCAGACAAAGCAAAAGACAAGGGCAAAGATGGCTTGTCCTTGCCCCCTGGTGGGGCCCGTGGTTGAGCCTATGGGATGCCACGGGCCTATACAGCTCCGCTTACAGCGTCGAGCAGAGGCCATATCATAGCATCGTGGAGGATGCTACATTTACTTCCGATTGGTGGGCCACCTTTTTAGGACTGAACTGCCAGTTTGAAGTTGCTATACAGGATTTAGATGTGGGCCACTCTTTCGCAGAAGACCCTCGGCTTGAGCATGGAGAGACAATGCCCACATTCATGTGGGAACCGCCAAGCCAGGACGATGACGGGCTGTTTTCAGTTTCCTGTGTTGCTGGGATGCTAGCAGGCGACAACTACAGTTCCTTTTCTGAGAGCCTTGTACATAGATTTTGGAGGGCGGACAGTGCTGTGCCTTGTGTACAGGGATGCCTACATAAGGTTCCGCATCCTGTTCCTTTCCGGGTTTGCATCCACACGACTGATTTCGCACTTTTTAACAGGTGGGCCAGGGAGTTAGCTCGGGTTGCTGCCTCTCTGCCAAAGCTGGTGCACCCTGTTGGTTGCACAGCTTCCTCGTCCCAGGCTGCAAGGTCTTTCTCGCGCCTTGCCGGTTCCAAGGCAGGTTCCTGTCGAGCCTTGGCCGGACCACATGTGCCCTTTACTCGCCTGGACTTTGCTCACCTCGATGCTCTGTCGCAGCCTGTGCGCCTGGGTGGTTGCACGGCACCGTTCTTCTGCCATGTGGATTTTGCAAACCTTGGGGCCTCATTGCAGCTCCGGCACCATGGTGGTTGCATGGCACAGTCTCTCAATCCAACTGACTGTGCAAACCTTGATGCCCTGTCGCAGCCTGTGCACCCTGAGCGTAGCACGGCACGGTCCATCCTTTCAGTGGACTTAACTCGCCTTGATGCTCTGTCGCAGCCTGTACGCTCTGATGGATGCACGGCACAGTCCCTCCTCGCTGTGGACTTTACGCACCTTGATGCCCGGTCGCAGCCTGTGCACCTTGGGGGTAGCACGGCACAGTCCTTCAGTCCACCGGATTCTGCATACCTTGCCGGTTTCAAGGAAGGTTCCTGTCGAGCCTTGGCCGGTCCCTTGGAGTTCCCAGGCCCTCTTGTGTTGCCAGCTGAACCGCCGTCCCTTCTATGCAGGCCAGGACCTCCCAGACCGTCAGATATCAGCAAGATGTGTGCGGGACGCGTGACTGTGCTGCCAGAGCACCTGGCCAGATATCCAGTTAACGAGATCCCACTGGATCAGCTTGGTCTGTTTGCGCTCGAACCCAGCAACCCGCGGCGGCAGCTCAGATTTTCGGTCTTTGATCGGCAGCGCCATCATGTCCATCGGACAGCGGCCTATGGATGGTCATTGCAGGATCTGGTTGCCGAGGCAGTGCGCACAGCGGGCGAGCGCATACGGTGTGTTCAAATCATCGCCAACCATATGCCCGATTTGATGGTGCCACAGCTTGTTCTGACGCCGGAGGCGGCTCTGCCCACACACCACTGCGTTCCGCTCGATATGCGTGCCTTTGGAGGACGGCCTTGTACACTGCTTCTCCAGCCTGGGATGAGTACGCAAGACGTCATCCGGGAAGTAGTGGGACATTGTCCTGGAGGCCCCCTTTTTACCCCGCCTACGCCTGATCAGGATTACTTCCTTGTTGATGCGCAAGGCGGCGTTTGGGATGAGCTGCCGGCCGACCTTACGCAGCTCCAGTGGTTGCGGCTATGTAGCCACCAGCATGGCTTAAACATGGGTGTGGCTATGGAGCTTGAGCCTGAGCCGCCCCAGCCTGCGGCTAGCACTACCACCACAGCGACCTGGACCCAGGGCCATGATAGGGTTGAGTTTGTCTCGTTTGTGCTAGCTGGGTTGGGCATTACGGTGCGGTTGCACCCGCAACACATAGCGCAAGCGCGCGTGCCCGATTCCATAGCCGACCTCATAATGGCGATCGCGCGCCAGAGGCAGCTACCAGCTCGTTCCAGAGTAGTGCTTGCGGCTGCACAGCCTATTCCGCTCACTCCTCAGCACATCACGATCATCTTTACCCTGTATCCGGACGATGCCAGGCGACACCTGATTCTTGACCCGTCTGCAGACGGCTCAATGGCCCAAGGGATCTCTGTGGATGATAATGCATGGCCTGACGAGCTCCTGGGGCCGGCACAAGCAAGGCAGGGCTTTGTGATTGCGGTCAATGGAGTCACGCAAGCTGCTGTCCGGCGCGTGTTATACAACGGAGATTATGCGCAAGTTGTCCGCATGCCGCAGATGCACCGAGTCACTCCCACAGATTGGCACTACCAGCTCTTTCCGGAGCTGAGACTCTTTGCCTTTCCCATTGAAGTGCCCAGGTTGCAGAGAGCTACGGCGGCCCCCTTGGACGCACTGATCCAAACACAGGTCAGGGATAGCTTCCTGCGGTACTTCCGTGAACGCCTCGCTCATCGAGACAGAGTGATGGGGCTCCCGGCTGCCGACACGCAGGCCATCATAGTGCAGGGGCCCAATCATGCCCCAGCTATGCTGTATGTCCCCGGGCGCATCAGCCCAGTCTTGTCTGAAGTTGAAGACAGCATCTCGCATACGGGTCTGTTTCTGATTGGCACGACATTTGCCGACTCTTGCGAGCTCACGCATCAGCATATGCCACTGTTCCTGTCAATTCCACCCGGAACACAAAACATTGGCATGTTTGTGCCTGCGCCTACCTTCTTTTTTGGGTACTATCAAGTCTGGCTCCCCCCTGGGGTTAGCCCTGCATCCCTTGACTTACCGGTACGTCGAGGATTTGTGCTTGATTACCCTGAGGTTGTGCGACCAGCAGCTGCCATCACGCAGCGTCGCGCCAGTGCACCCACACGTGAGCAAAGGCGGGCGACCCTCTATGGAGGTACCGCTATGGTACAGATTCCGGACTATGCTGCCAAACGTGCCAAACGCTGCCAGGCGTATTTGCGAGTGCATGATATCCAGGATGAGTGTTCCTGCTCTGATGGTCAGGTTGTCTGCTTGGAGGCCGGTGTACCAGGTCCTGATACTGAATCAGCAGGGGTCCCGATGCCTGGGCAAGCACAACGTGTTTCTGTGCCTACGCCCTTCGGCCGCAGGGGAGTGCCTCGCTCCTCGGAGGTTAGAGCCTCCGTCCCGGCAATCGGTTGTCAGCCGCAGCTTGAACCGCCTGTTGTTCCCACTCCTGGTTCGGCACCTCAGTATGCCGCAGCGAGGCCCCAGCAAAGCGTAAAGCGAACGCTTGTACTGCACAGCTTACTACCTGATCATGATTGCCAAAGGGAGGCTCAGCTGTGCTTTGCCACGCCAAGCGACAACCTCAGGCATGCCCTTGCGCCCTTTCACCTGGACAATTTGTGCCGCGACGCGCTCCCTGCGTCACACCTGCACCCAGCCGCTGCAGAGATGTTGGCGCATCTGCCACCCAGAAATGCCGAGCTCGCGGTTGAAGCGGCCATGCTGTTTGTTGATGGCTCCTTTGAGCACGCTGTTTCCACCTGGGCTGTGGCAGTCTTAGTCTGCCAGCACGGGCAGTGGAGCTGGGCGGGATATCTGGCGGATGCTGTCCCATCTGCTCTTTCGCCCTCCTCGGCATACGATGGGGAACTCTTCGGACAGTTCGTCGCCCATGGCATTGTCGCAAGCGCGGAGGTTCCGGCTGTTATTTTCTTCGACAGCACCTCAGCTTCCTTGGTTGCAACGGCGCAAGCAGCCACGTGTGCACACACCGCCCTGAGTAGAGCAGTGGCGTCTCTGCATTTTCTGTGTCATGTCGCAGGCTGCCAGCCGGTGGCCCACTACGTGAAGTCCCATTCGGGACATCCGGGAAATGAACTCGCGGATAGTGTTGCCAAGGCTGTCCTCAAGGGCCGACTTGCACCAGCCCCTTTGAGTGACGAACACGTCGTGTCATATATCCTGCAAGGAGACTTTGACACTATATGGATCCACCGTGCCCATGACCGTTGCGGCACCTGGCCCCAGTTTGATGACCATGGGGATGCTCTGCCCATTGTCCCGTGGCCACAACATAGCCGGGTCGACACTCCGGCACAATGGGCTTTCGACAGCCAAGCCGGCACTGAACGGCTATGCCGCTTGAAGGGCCGGATTGCTACCTATAATACTCTCAGTGCTGTGAGCCCTCTGCAGAGACAGTGCCTCAGTGCTTTCATGCGACGGCATGGCATCCTGTTTGCTGGCTTTCAGGAATGCAGACAAGCCTCCGCTAGCCCCATTGTCCAGGATGGTGTTCTCCGGCTCAGCAGCCCCTCACCGGAAGGCCGCGGAGGCTGCCAGCTCTGGGCAGATCTCCATGCCTTGCCGGGAGGACACATGCAACAATTTAGTGTCCACTACCGCCATCCGCGACTGCTTGTTGTTTTATATCAAGCTGGTGGCCTCAGGATTGCATTTGTTGTTGGGCATTCGCCAGACTCTACTACACCGGAGGAAGAGCGGGCTGCATGGTGGGAGCTCTTGAAGGCCAGACTACACTCACTGCCACCAAACACTGCGCCTATTCTGCTCCTGGATGCCAATGCCAGATACCGGGCGCCACAGGCGGATGAGATGGCAGAGGTCCCTACCAATGCCAATGCACAAGCCTTTGATGCCATACTTCAGGAATATCAGTTGAGCCGAACCCCAGCATGCGATGCCAAAGGGCTGCCCTACCCCACCTGGCGGTCTCCTCAGGGTGTCTGGGCATGTCTCGACTACATGGCTGTGCCTGCGATTTGGCGAGATGGCTTCCAGCCCCTTGGGGTGCAGCCCATCCTGGACACACATGCTGGCATCGATCATCAACCAGTCTTGGCAAAAATCTCTGTCAACCTCCTGGTGCCCGCCCAGCCAAAGAGTCGCCTCAATGTTGATCTAATGCGATCGCCCGCAGGCGTGGCCAGGATCCGAGAGACCATGCGTAGCCTGCCTGCTTGCCCATGGCATATGGATGTTGATGATCACTTGGTGGCCATCAATACTCATATCCATCAATGCATTCACGACCACTTCCTTAAGCCTGTGAGGAGTGCGCGTAAGCCGGGTGTCTCTGCCTTCACTATGGAGCTTCTGCGCGCCAAAAGGCAATGCCGCCGCCGGCACCATAGGCGCGAGGGTCTGCATCGGCGGAAGCTCCTGGCAGTTTGCTTGCAGGCCTGGCGCGACGCCGGCACGGGCCACCAGACCGAGCCACGCTACCATCCGCCTGACATACAGGCCCATGACAGGCTATGCGCCGAGCACATCGCTGATATGCAGCGGTTGTGCCGACACCTGCGCAGGTCCTTCCGGCATGACGAAGCGGAATATGCGCGCGCAATGTACCAGCAGGCCCGACAGGCTGGACCGGCGCATCTAGCTCGCGTGCTCAGGTCAGTGCTGAGAGTTGGACGCAGCTATAAGCCACCACGCATTGCACAGGGCATTGAAGGACCGAACGGCCTCGAGACAGATCCCCATGCCATCAAGCAGCTTTTTGGTGATCATTTTGCTGCTATCGAGGCGGCCAAGCCTTGTGCGTTGCGTGACTTGCAGCAGGAATGTACGCCAGCAGCGGGCACCCGGCTGCTGGCGGCTGGGCTGCCCACCCCAGTTGATCTGGCATCTGCGTTCGCTGGCCTTCAGCATAACAAGGCGCCAGGGCTCAGCAGTATCCCTGCTGAGTTCTATAAGGCTTGTCCGATTGAGTCTGCGGCAGCCCACCTGCCATTGCTCCATAAGATGACCACCAGAGGCAAGTGCCCATTGCTTTGGCGCGGGCTGCTGGCAGTTCCTCTGCCAAAGCCGAATAAGCCTTCGAATCAGGTCACAGGCTATAGGTCAATCGCCCTCCAAGAGCCGGCAGCCAAAGCTGTATCGAAATCGATGCGACCGGCCTTGATCACGGGCTTCCAGGCTGTTTGTCTGGATAGCGTTGGGGGAGCAAGACCTGACATAGCCACGGACTATCCAGCAAGTGGCGTGCAGCTACACCTCAGGGCTCTCAAACGACAGGGCATTTCTGGCTCTGTTGTGTTTGTGGATGGGGTCAGCGCCTTCTACGCCGTCCGCAGAGAGTTACTCTTCACTGATAATCTGCAGACGGTTCTGGATCGAGTTCAAGGGCTGCCGGTTGAGGATGAAGTGCGGCAGCGTTTTGTGCAAGGCCTTAAGCAACATGGAGCTCTGGCCTCTGCCAACATCCCTGAGGCTGTGCAGCGCCTGCTCAAGGCCACCCTGAACGCGACGTGGTTCACTACCGATCCGGCGAACTCGGTGGCCCAGCACACCTCTGCCGGCACCATTCCCGGTGCTCCCCTGGCAGACTTGTTGTTCCAGTTTTGTCTTGATCTGGTGCTCCATGCCCTCGCTGACCATCTCGAAGCTGAGGACATCCAGGCGCGGCTCGTTCACGATGGGGCCCAGATCTGCTCTGCTGCTCCGCTCTCTTGGTTGGACGACTTGGCAATTTTGCTGCAGGCGAAGTCGCCGGACAGGGCCGCACCAGATGCTAGCCGAGCTACCGCCCTTATTGGACAGTATTTGTCCATAGTTGGAATCCAGCTTAACACGCAAGCTGGGAAGACGGAAGCCATTGTCGTGTGGCACGGCCCGGGATGCCAGGCTGCGAGATATGAGACTATGGTCCGCCAGGGCGCGACTGTGCAGCTCACTCTGCCGAACGGCGAGACTGGGCGCCTTCGGTGTGTGCTCGACTATGTGCACTTGGGTACAAGGCGAGAGGCTGACGGAGACTTGCGGTCGGCTTTGGATCACCGTCACTGTGAAGCTCGAAGCGTGTACAAGGCGGTCAAACAGCGCCTACTGACCAACCAGTTTTTGACGCTTGCCGAGCGACAGACGCTCTTTGCATCCCTCGTCCTTAGCCGATTCATGCACGGATCTGGGACGTGGTTGTTTACAACTTCGTGTTTGCAGCAGCGTTACCACACTCTGTACATGGGTTTGCTACGTGGGGCAGTGCGACCCTTGTACGGATTCTCATGCACACGACTAGAGGCTGAAGAAGTTTGCACCCTCATGCGGGCCATGCTGCCTGAGGAGGCACTGGCCCAATCACGAGTGCGCGTCCTTGCGGGCTTGGGGCGCAATGGGGGGCATTATCTACAGGCACAGTGTGCAGCAGATTCCGACTGGGTTACAGCCTTGAGGTCGGACGTTTCTTCTATTGCCAAGGTTCTGGCTGATGAATCGCTGCAAGGCTACGCGGCCATGCTACCTGACTCCAACCTGGCATGGATCAAGTCATGGCCCTGGTCCAAAGAGCGTACGCGGGTTAGGCTCGCAGCCTTTCGCCAAGCAGTGATACGCTCACGCCAAGGCCGGCATGTTCAGGTCTGCAACAAGGCAAAGGCTCATAACCGTGTCTTGGAGATGGGGGCCTGTTTCTATCGCCTGGCTGACCCGCTGCCGGAGAGCCGCATACACCCCTGCCCTGAGTGTAAGGCCATGTTCTTGACCAAGTCGGCGGCAGCTGCGCATAGAGCGGCATGCCATGATGTCCGCTCGGACGCTGCCTTCGCTGTCGGAACTGCCTGTGAAGTATGCCGGCGTCAATTTTGGGACACCAAGCGTCTCTCCCAACACTTTCGATCTTCTCCACGATGTGCTGCCGTATATCGTGAAGCTGATCTGCAGCCGACCCAACGGGAGGTTTTAGCCGATAAGCGGATGCCTCCACATGTGGTCGTGGGACCGGCCCCGTGGTGGTCCACGATGACACATGAACCGTCCACTCCTCCTGTCCCTACTCCCAACGCCGTAAACTACCTGCATGACCTCCTCAATATGCAGATTGAGAAGCAGGTACCACTTTTCTTTCGCATGCTGGCGTGTTCGGTTGAGTCACAAGGGCGGGATGTTGTGTTGGATGCAATCCAGTCTGTACAGGGCAGCGATGAATGGCTTTTGGTCGTTCAGGTTGCTTCGGTTTTGGGCCAGGACTGTGAGCTGCATGTTTTTACAGCAGGCCAGTCTATGGCAGCCTTTCAGGCAGGTAACCTTCTTTTAGGACCTGCGGCCGCCGTGCGAGAGATACTCGCAGACGGATGGCGGAACCTTTAGCATGCTTCTTTTGAATTTATGAGCGCGTCTATCTGACTCGAGCCACGCCGCCAAAAACCCTAAAACCCCCGAAACCCTAAACCCTAAACCCTAAAACCCCCGAAACCCTAAACCCTAAACCCTAAAACCCAGGCGTTTCGGCCCAGGAGTAGTTTGCGGTCTCCGCTCCTCCTGGCCCTA